CTTAAAGATTAATGCAGGTTTTTGGGCAAAATATCGATAAGTTGTCGTACTTGTGACAGACTTTCCTGGTTTTCTAAACCAGGTTTGATACTGTTCAGGAAAGTTGAAAAACAGGCCGACTATCCATTTCAAAGTATTATGTTACTAAAAGTTCTATACTGACTATAAGGATCCTTTCAATACTTCATCATTCACATCCAGTTGTTTGGTGTAGTATACCTCGCACGTACGACAGCTTATTGATTAAGATTGCAGAACGGCAGCTGCTGTTCGTCAATTTTGCATATTTTGCACTCGTGGTAATTTGTGTCTCGCATGATTTGTCATAGTGAATTTTTAAGTAGTTACTTGCACTCGCTTTACTATTTTGTCTGTCACGCGTATTTTTCTTTATTCCCATGTAGGATTTCCTTCTTAGTTTCAGTGATCTTTTCGTATATTATATGCAGGATTGTGTGCAAGCTTTTTAATATTTCCAGAAATTGTTTGGAAATATTCACAATTTTGTTTTTAGGTTATGCCTGTGGTGCTGCCTGCTCCTAATCCATCACAAAAAACAATGTGTTTGCTCTACATGGAGGCTTTCGACATTATTATTCCGAACTCTCATTTCATAACTGTTGGTAGTGAGGGCAAAAACAAATATTCATCTGACCCGAACCATTATAAGTGTAATGTGAGCAAAAGTCAGGGTGGTGCAAGGTTATCAGTACAATTTCTTTTTTTTTTTTACTTTTTACTATATTTTTTAATAATTGTAGTATTATATCTTTTGTTTCTCGTACTATACTAAGTCTCGGATTAAACTGCTGGAAATAAACACAAGTAAAATATCCTTTATATTGGGTTTTTATCTCTAGAAAGTTTACAGTGATGGTGGTTTGAAGTTACGATTATATACAAACTTCAGAAGTTTTTAAAGTAGTGCTCATACTGTTGGTTAATGCATATTTTTATTTTAGTTTCGTAATTGATGTCGAAGTTGGAGAGAACATAGAAGACGCCAAAAAACAGTACTATTTGAAGAGTGGGACTACGATAACGTTTCAGTAAGATACATTTTCAACTAGTTATTCAGTTGTATACAGTGTTAAAATTTTTAATTCATATTTTCAGATTAGATTTCGTGCGAAGTCGAAATGGCTATTGGTATTTGGATGGCACCACTTTAAAGAATAGTTTCAAAATTTCAGCTATGAGCGGTGAAGTTCGTTTTTCCTGTTTTTTTTCCCATAAAACACTTTAAAAAGTATCGGTAATGTGGTGCATTACGGTTTGAATTTAAAATAGGGATAACTTTTTCTTTTTTATAATCATGGATAAGGCATGTTCCTATTTAGCAAGACCTAACTATAAGTACTGGTATTGCTCTGAATCGAGTAGATATTGGAGCCGCATTTAATCGGAATTTTGCTTGTTATCAAACGGATGCAGCAATTTTCAACGTATCAGGTGATAGTAATCCAACACGTATTGGGATTGCACTACGGAATTTTGAGGTACGTAGCTGTAAATTTCCCGAAGTTATTTCTCACGATTTTTTATGTTTCTTTTTTTAACTTTCTTAAAAAATGGAACAGAAAATGAACGGAAAAAATTAAAGTTCGAGGACCTGATGAGCAGTAGTTCTAGACTGCTCGACAGAAACATCAAATAAAGTTCAGTTTATTTCAGGTGAGTTTGGGACTTAAAGGTAACAAGACACAGTTTGGGTACTATACATCGGATTGCGTTGGGACGTTTACTGCTGGCACCTGGATGGGTATTATCATTTCTATTGTCTTTATAAGCGTTCTATTGTTCGGTTATCTAATGGTGCAGTCAATACACACGATGGATCGGTTTGATGATCTGAAACAAAAACAAATCGTAATTAATTCCAGAGAATGAACAATGCATATACTATTAGTAGGTTATAACATTCTGCTACTTTACACTACCGCTTTATATTCCTTTTATCATTATGTGTGTAATATTTGTTAGACTTAAGAGATGAAAAAAGGTGCTTGTAATCTTTCAAGCCATCAGAAGATGATGGCTGTTGCGCTTTTCTGTGTTTAATTTCTATTAGTAATTGTTTCAAAATCCGGGTAATTGTTCACTTTTATTGTAACGTAATTGTATTTACTGCACACACATAGTTGCTTCATTCTGTCCAAGTCATGATCTTTCAAGCAGTTTGTGTATGATATGGCATCGCACAATTTTTTTCCAAACAAACCCCATTAGTTGTGTCGATAATCATTTAATGAATAGTTTGTAGTTCAAGAGGGTAAACTTCATATCAGATTTCAACTTACTGTGATAAATTTCTATACCTGCAGCAACAGGGTAAACACTTATTCGGAACAGGTACCACTCAGGACCAAATATATGATATTGCAACAGAAGGAGTGGAATTTCTGTTTGATACTCTCTCAGTTTATATATGTTTTTCGTATGGTGAGGAATACATTTATGGTCAGTTCAGTGATAGATGTAAGATTGACTGCATTATTATATCATTATGTATAAATTTGTCTTCTCTTTTCCAGTTTTAATTCTTGTTATTCTGGGAATAATTTTAGTCATGAAACTAAATCATAATGGGAAGTCACCGAACTTGTGTAAGCCATTTGAAGTTTCGTTCTTTATTCTATTGAAGTACTTTTAGATGTCTTTAACGTTAATTGCCGGGAACTGTTACCTCTCATTTTCTAATGTTATTCTTCCAACTCTTCTTTCAGCAGTGAAGACGTTGCGAAGTATTAAACATACATTTGCTGAATTTATGACGATACCAACACTGATGCAGAACATCTGGCCCTCGTCGGATTTCAACATTTCTCAAACAGGGCTTATTCTTGACACCATACTTTTTAAATGAGTAATTTCAATTAGAACCAGTTATAAAATGAGCTATTGCTACCGGGATCGTTTACAATACAAAATATAGGTGGGTTGCAAGCTGTTTCTCTCCTGCAGTTTTTCAGGATGAATAATAATAGAAAGTGATACTAATTTGATTCTGTGCTAGATTGTGCATTCAGCAAAAAAAGATGGAGTGCTATGAAGTAGCGCATCACTAACATGGCAGTGTTTATTCATATGAACATAATTATAGTTTATGGATTGACCGGATGAGCTCTTACTTTTCTATTCATTAAATTCCTTTTTGCATTCACAGTCTCCTAACATTCATTACTTACGAGCATTTCATTTTGAAAGCATAGCCAAAGGAAAAAAAAAAAACAAATTCCTAGCTTAAATGGTTTCCATGAAAAGTAATGATCATTTAGTTGTTATCTAAGGGATATCATAGAACATATGAGAAGTCTGCAACAATAGCGCTGAATGCACGGTCCTGTAAAAAAAGGGGGAGCTACCTTACAGAGAGAGGTCATGAACATCCTGACGAAAACTACAAGTATGAGAATATTTGTCGAAAACATTTGACATCGGTTTGTAACAAATAGAACTGAAAGTTGTAAGAGCCCACTTTGGTGTACAGTAGATATAACAAAAGACTGCAAAATTATTAAAGAGAAAACATTCCAGTGAAAAACAAAGCATTTTAAAAGATGACGAAACAAAATGGGCGGTGTTTTAAAATCAAAAATTAGTGAAATTCTCAAGCAGCACCAATAAAAGGAAGAAAAAGACAGTTGCACAAATGATAATGACAAAAAAAAATCGGCAATGAATGTATGAAAATGATGGATGATACTTATGCAATTTGTACCTTAACAAATTTGCTAGTTTAGTCCTTTTGTTTTTATTAAATTTTTTTCTGAATAATTTCGCTAATAATAATAATAAAAGAAAAATGAAGATGAGCCAAAAATATATTCGTCAAATAATTTGTTGACAATTTCTTCTGCACACTTTTCCAGTACTAATAGAAGATATTTCAATATTTGCTAATAAATCATATATCTAAAAGAGATATTTTCATATTTTGTCCATCTTCAAGGCAATGAAAAGAAAAAGAAAAATGTATACAAATAAATCAAGAACAAATGCTAATAAATAATTCGGCAGCAGTTACCATACAGTATTTATGTAATGCAAATTACAATAATCTGTCATAGAAATAAATATATGCAATTGCAACAAATTTTAAACATTGGTTTTTTAAAAAGTTTGATGAATTTCATAGTTGGCATTTCTCTGACGAAAAAATCAAATGTTGCAAATCGCAAAGGATACAGATGTTTGGCGCAATTTTAGTAAAGGAGGAAAAAATTTAAAGCAAAATTAAAACAGCAAAATATCCTGAAACAATTCCAAATCGTTCTGTTTGGGAATTAAAGCTAGCAGATGGAGTGCTGAAGTACGATCATTTAAGTAGACAAAGCAGTAAGTACCACCAAAATTACTTTTTTTTTTGTTTCATATTGGAGTCAAATTTCAAGTTCTAACAATTAAACAAAAAGTACTAACCCCTTCTGTATTTCTACTGATTTCAAAATGTTACCTTATATAATAAAGATATGAAACGAACATATAAAGTAGTTCTTGAATTTGCAACATAAATTCATCATCTCTAACCTGTTTTTACAACAATAAAGACTAAGATTGAAAAACAAATAAGAGTACAAAAACGTTTGCCTAAATTTATGTGAGTACCACCAGATAACTAACTTCCTGCATATTACTGAGATATATTAAAGAGACATTATTAATCAAAGAATTATGAGACGATATGAGAGAGATGGAGTTATATGTGGAGACTCTCATTACAAATTGAATACAAAATAGAAATAATAAATAAACAAATGCCGTTTTCATATAATTTTAAAGCATCGCATACACTGTTGAGTATCACTATATCACTTCCTTTTTTTGTAAATTCATTGATAATCCTTTTTTCTTATTTTAATACTAAATTAATTTATACTCGGAGTGTGTATGAATTACATGAAATGTTACTAGGAAAGGAAATTAAATCAAAACAATTTCTTAAATCCTATTTCATGGCGTGTACAGAATTTGCATAAATCGCCAATGAATCTTCAGTTGTTTTTATTTCATAGTTTACCCACTTTACGGATTAACGTTCACTCTTTTTTTCTTTTTCCTTTTGATCATTATCCTATAATCCGTCGAATGATAATATTCTTGACTGCCTTTATCATCTTTTTCATCCTGCACCAATACTCGGATTTTGTTTATGATCAATTTCTATTACCAAACCTTTAAACTTATCCGGACTACATTGACCACAGTAACCACCGCAACGTCCAAATATTCTTGCATTATTCTGCAGCACATATTATCTATTCATGAAGTAATAAGATAATATAGTAATATTTTCAACATTCTAATAAACATCGAATTTGACCGATAAACAAATGAAATAATTTTGATTGTTATAAGACAAAAACTATCTTGAGATATCCTTGCGAGAATAAATGAAGCATACGATACACAAAGTGATGCTGGATTTAAAACATTTTAATTATTCCCGAATGCTTATAAGATTATTTCTTGATTTTGATCAAATTTTATTTGAATGAAAATTTAATTTAAATTTCATAATCGTTATTATGCTTTCTGAACACATTTTATCTGCCCTCTTTTATGAGCACAATGTTGAAACATTTTAAATCGACACACAATTCTCGATATTTTCCCACCTTTTTATTTTTCCCACCAATCTTTTTTATTTTCCCACCAATACACATTATCGGAGCTTTCATCTTATCCATGTCAGCAGCGATACTCATTGGATTATACCACTGAACAGTTACGTATTCAACAATGCTTCAAGTATTTCGCATATATTTTGTATTTATCAAAAGAAAAAACATACATCAGACCGCTCAATTCTCGAACTTGTGCGGTGCCCTTGATCAATCCAGCGAAGGTCATCCATCACTCGGAGACCCGTTCCACGTAAATCGATACCGAATTGTCCCTGAAAAGTAATAAAAACTTTTCAATCGAAGGGATTATTTTAGGTGGTAGAAACAAATTTCCATGAAAAAATTTAACAATAAAATAACTTTAAAAAAGTATCTATTGGCCTTTATTTTGGAGTTAAAAAAAACGAAACCTGTGGGCAATCAACAGCGCTGTAACAATCACCAGCTGTTGCAAATGCTACTTCTTCACCATGAGATGTCGTTGCAAATGTGTGATCGTGAACTGTAATAAATCACTTTAAAGTACGTTCGTCCTCAGCACTTTCTTTCTATTAATTCTTTCTTTAAATTTTCAGCCATAATAAAGATGAACATGAAGTATTCTAGGTTCATATCAATATACAATTATTTTAACTGTCAAAATGAACATCCAATCTGATCAAATAAGTAATAATTTTTCAGTAAATTTTCCAAGTTCCAAAACTGTTAATAACAAAAAAAGGAAAATAAAACCGAATAAAGAAGAATGACATTATTTTATCTGTTATTTTAACTCAACAAAAAAAACATAAAGTATTATATATTAGATAAACGAAAAATAACTTACTGTTTATTTTCATATTGTGAAGATCGACACGAACTTTTGAAAAACTGGAAAAGCCAGCGCTTGCACTTCCATCATCCGTGCACATGCATGTATCATTACGCTGTCCGTTATGAGGACACGTAAATGGGTACAATAGTCTACATGAAAGTAAATTATCAAATAATAACAATTACAAAATTGTCCTTTTCTACTTGCGTCTCTTCATTTTGCTGATAACTGGAAGAAGTGATATTTCAGAATTTTAGTCAATAATAACTACCAAAACTAATTCGATCATTTCATACATAATTATTTTTATTGGTATTACCTTTTTCCATAAATTTCCGCAAAATTAGTTTCACTATTGAGATTGATGTACGTTTTTGGTAATGTTTCATTCATTAGGTGGCAATAAACAGTAATGCGAAAACCAGCAACCAAAACGGTATAATTGCCATCGGCGCTATTCTCTTGCGTATAATACGCTTTCAACTCTGCACAATCACCTGGCAAGCCTGGAATATATTATTAGTAAAAACCTAAGATATTTGTGAAAATTAATAAATTGTTCTCCTTGTAATCGACAAATTTCAGCTAATTGCCAAATTAAATTCACTTTACATCGTCACAACAGTGTATCCGAAAACTGACAATATTTGAAATCAACAAAGTTCAGTGAATTACCATAGAATTTTGCACCTAAATAGATTTTATACTTTCAAGTAATGTTTGATATGTTTTTCCATGTGATGCCCTTTGTAAATAAACTGATCATGGTGTTGATGTAAAAATAAATTGCTTACAATTTCTCAAGAAACAGCTTTCTCGCCTTTTCGGTCTATCTGGACTTTGATCACAAAGATCACGCGATACCCGTCTGCCATCCCTGTCCAAACATCGTACACGACGTCTTCGATAGCCTGGACCACAACTTGTCGAGCACTGCAACGTAGTGATTGTAAAAAAAATATTTCATTGATTTTGATACCTTCTTTTAACAGTATGCTATTTTTATAAAAAGCTTTTATGATTTCAAAAAGCAAAAAAAAAACTTTCCAGAATTTTAGAAGATGCGTAATAACATAATGAAATGTACTTTGTATCTTGAATTATATCAGAACTACACAAAATTCGAGAAAATAATTCAATAATTGCATTTTATTTCATGAACAAAGAACTGACTAGTATTATTAGTAAATACATTTATAAACTGAACACTGAATATTATCACAGAACTGGTAATTTCTCCTGATAATTTGTAATCAAGTTTGAGCGGTATCAAAATATAGAACATAATTCGGCAAACTAATAGTAGATATAAATGGTATTGTTAGTTGGTCTAAATTTACTAAATTGATGGTAGATGGAATGAAACACTTTGACACTGGAATTACAAACTTCCTATAGCAGGACAACGACAACTTTTTTTAATTATACCGATCAATAAAATGTTAGAAAAGAATTTTTAATTTATGAAAAATTCCATATAAAAGAAGAAAAGACTCCTGTAATTCCATTATTAATGGATAGAAAATGTGAAATGAAAGCTTATAAACAAAGATGAAAAGATTACCTGTGACCAAGGTCCAACGGACCAGCGATATTTAGCATCGCACGGGTTCATAGCACATTCCTTACTAACCGATGGTCGAACTAATCCATTACACATCCTCGACTGTACATTTGACTCTGAGTTCGAGCTATGATTTTGACTACGCACACGGCACTCAATGCGACGGAATTGAAACCCTGTGCCACACGTTTTAGAGCACTGAAGAAATAAATATATTTTCAAAACAATACTCCTTAAAATACTTTTCTTTTCTAAATGTCACACAATTGTGGGGCATCTCAGACAAGAAATCATCATTGCTGCAATGTCAACACCGCTTATGTATCACTCAGTACCTTTTCAAAATGCTTATGTAACCGCTTAATAACCGGTTAATATTTAATCCACTAGCTGGTCAAGTATTAAATGTTACGTATAAAAACAATATTCAAACTTCAGGTTGATATATTACAAAACAGTGTATTGATAAAGGCAATCTTTTTTTCCTCTCTTTGTTTCCAATTATTTCATTTAACAGTTTGCTGAAAAGCTTTATATAATTAGAAAAATAATGCAAGTCATACCGTACTCCAAGGACCAGGTACCCAATGATAGAGACAATCGGTAACAGGACATGAACGTGTCATCTCTGGTGCAGTCTCATTACTGCACATTTTTGGCGCTGCACGTTTACCCAAATTGCTGACACAGTAAACACGACGATGTTGATCAGATCTCTTGCACGGATCAGTGCACTATAATTTAAAGTATGTAATGTTGAGAATATCTTTCAGATGAGAGCTAAAAAAAATGAAGGCATTAAAAAAATTTAAGGATACGCGATTAGTTTCTTAAACTTCACTTGTGATCGCCCTTTTTGCTAAATGTGGCATAACGAAGTCTGATACTGCAAACGAACAATTCGTATGAGAAGATGGATAAATATTTTTAACCTTAGACCATGGAGTAGCTGCCCAGTGATATGCTGGACAAGACATGGTTATACACATTGAATTTGCCAGTGGCTTCGGTAACTTTGCACATTCCATATCTGGCAGATTGGTTCGTCGACCTTTCTGACACATCACTTCACGTGTTCTTATTCCTCTACCACATGTCACCGAACACTGCAAATAACAACACCACATGAATACAATAAATCTACAAAAGAATGTACGATACCATTCATTCACTTGTGTGGACGATGGTCAGAAATAAATGTCTACTTTCGTACTAAAAACGTGTATGTGTGTGTGTGTGTGTGTGTGTGTGTGTGTGTGTGGAAAACTGCGATTTTAAGGAAATTGCATTTCAAAAGAGCATTAGCGAAATTTACAGGAATGCCAGGAATGTCATGCAATATGTAATCTAATAATTTTAGAACTGGACCACATTCACTTCCTAAGAAAAGGTAAAAAGAAACAATGCTAGTCGTAAAATCAATCCTGTTTAATACATTCGTCCTGATTCTCCAGGAAATTCTTTCTTTTCTTTTAGATAAGAACAGTGACCATCAAATGTTTGTCCACAAAACAGAGAACTGATTTTTGGGTGCTAAAATTCCACACGCAAATATATACAAAAGACTGCCATACTTCAGACCAGCGAATGGTATTCCTTAGCTGATCTCATCTTGACTGTATGAAAAGCTAAGCTGTGCAGTAATTTTTTTTGACAGAAAAATCTTTCTTTTGTAATTGATCTCCCACGCTTATACTACTTGGCAAAGATGAACTTTTCGCAAGTATCAGTAAGAGATAACCAAGTAACTCTTATTATCTCTGAATAAGATGGTGATCGAAGAACTTTTGAAGCTATCCGATTTGATCAACGTGAAAGAGATTACTGGATTCTGAATAGATAAACACCAAATTGACATTGAAAAGTGATGTATCGGGATCCATCCCAAATTAATATTGATGTAATTATCTATTTGTAAAACTTCCCTTTTAAATATAAATTTTGTTATGAAATTATATTTTTATGACCAGATGAATTTAGTGGAATGAAGAATAGCCGCTGGAATGATATAATCTATGCTGAGAGTATTAAATAGCTGATATTCCATAACTCAATATAATAATTTTAGATGAAGCATATCTACTCAACGACACTAGCATAGCTAGCAAATAAGCTCCGAATTTCACAACACGATATCTCATTCTAATACATCTAAAAAAATATATTTCTCACATCATTCACTCACCATTGACCATTTTCCGGTTTTCCAACGTGGACAATGAGCCATTCGACAGCGATGTGAATCAATTGGCCGTTTTGCCGCATCACAATATTTAGAAGCTGCTGAATGACTATGTGAATTGACACATGACACAATACGTTTACGAACACCACGACCGCATGTTGTCGAACACTAAAATGCAAAAGCAAAACTGTGGATGCTTGGAAAAATAACAAAAACAATAACAAAATTAGCCGCAATTATTCAAAAGCATGCTGTTGAAGTTTAAATCACCACATTTAGGTTACCGTCTAGACAATAACTATATTACAGTAAGCACTGAAATGAGTTATTTAAAGAGTTTATTAAACAAACAAACATAAATTCCTAATCAGCATAGAAGAAAGTGATATCACCAAATCATTGGTATTAAATCTTACCCAATTAAATATATTTTTGAAAATTTAAATTAGTAATGGGCTCGAAATGTCCCATATCTCATAAGCACAAGCAGCATGCAAGCTAAACAAGATAGAATCAATGAACTTTTATGCTCATTTTCGGAGTGGAATTAATTGAATTACTGAAAATTTCAGGTTGTCAATCCAGGAATTCATGTCAAATTATCAAAACAAAGAAAACGGATAATACACATTAGTCAGATTAAAATCAATAATAAAAAATAACCATACAAAAAACAACAATAAAACCACAACAAATAAATCGGGAAAATATATTCGCTTATAAAATCTCGTTATATGGAAAATACCGGATTAAAGAATAACGATGAAGCCATGCATAAACGACACACAATATTACAGATTACTATACTACCATTCAGAAAATTCAATAATATTGTTAATGTTAAGCTAAGTAATTACGTAAGTTAAAAATCTTTCTTGGAGTAATGAAGTTAGCAAATTCTTCTTTTTTTTTGCAACTCATAATTTGATTAATAGGTATTCTTGATAAATGCAATTCTTACCATTTCTCTAATCTTGTGATAAATCATCCATCGGGTGCAGAAAATTTTTTGAAATACTATTATTATATTTTCTTTTGCCTTTTTAAAATTGTCGAATCTAAAATCTGACAGATGAGAATGGAATATATCCATCTCATCAATCTAAAATTCAGAAACATCACTGCAAAAAAACAAGAACAAATCAAACAAATATCGTAGAATGAATAAATTTTTATATTTTAAAAATTTCTAAAAACCGAAATTTATTTCGCAGATGTAGTAATAACAAGCAAATATCAATCATTTTGTTCTTAGAAAAATTAAGATATTTTTTGCTTAAAATAGAAAGAAAAAAGTGACATGCATTAATAAATATTAAAATAAATGAAATTGAGAAATATGAAATATACAGAAAAGCTAACGATATAGTTGAATTTAAAATAAAGAAAACTATTTATGAAAAAGAAAGAATAAACGGATCATAAAATATTATTTTACAAAGTAAACAGATTTTCATAATTAACAGCATTAGAATATTTTGATTATCACAATTATTTCGTTTATTATTGTAATAATCTCAAAATAAAATAATTTTCATCGTGAATTCTCGGGAAAATATTAAAAAATATGATCGGAACATTAAACATCAGTACCAATTTTTCTAAATGAATGAATATCGTTAGGATCGAAATTAAAAAAGTATTGATAGTTTTTGGCTTGGTTATAAGAATTGTAATGAATAAATGATCGCTTCTGTCACTCAACCTTACCTTTGATGAAAAGTTGAAAGGAGAAGTTATAATGAAGGAATCAGCGAAATACAGAAACAATGGATAAAAAAATACAACACTTTTCAGAATTAGCTGCTGATTATAACGAAGGTATTATTATCATCATAGCTAAATCTTCCACTTAAAAGGAAATTTTCAACAATAATTAATAGCGTTGCGTTAAATGGAATGGAAATGATTCATAATTAACAAAAATTATCTTCCTGATAAACTTTTATATAAAAAAAAAGATGAGGAATGTAAGCGGTTCAGCATTTATCAGTGAAGATAACAAATTTGTACAGCATATCATACTGTATATGAATGTTTGTATCACATTTTGTTGCTAAGAAAAAAAAAAGGTAAGCGAATAATGATGAGAGCATCAGACTGGTGCTGATAAGTGTTAAAATAGTTTTTGTAACTTAGTTAGATAATGTATATCTTTGGCTCTTTGAGTTTGATCTTTGGTTATTAACTTAAAAGAAATTCATCTACAGTACCTACATTTTTAGGACGTCAGACGAAGGGAAACATGCGTTAGGAATTGCATGAAAATTGTGGCATGCTCCCAAAAGAAATGTCAAAACAATCATATATTATTTATCACTGATAGAGTGGCAGAAGGTGAAAGTTAATAAAACAGTGGACAAAAAGAACCTGAACAAGGTGGCAGTAAAATTGCAGATAATAAAGAAAATTGAAAAAGTAGAACTAAATGATTCATAAAAAGCAAATCCTGAAATACAAATGATAATCTCAGGAAGAAGATTATATTTTATTTTATTTTAGACAATGTTATTTCATAATATTAATAATATTCTAACTAAAACATTAATAGAAAAATAATATTAATCGCTATTGAAAAGTAAAAATAATTATTAACCCGTAAAATTTAGAAAAAAAAATGAACCAACGAAGAGATTCCATCCTCATTAATACCTTTCTCATTTTGAAAACATTTATACAAAAACTTCTAGGAAGATTAATTACCACATGGAAGCTACAAAGAAATATTAGTAATATTAATTGAAAAAAAAAAGTGGAACGAATCAATAATTTTAAATAGACTGTAGAAATATTTGCCTACCTTTATATAATATAAAATAAAATAGTAAAAAAATATAGATGACAGTTGAAATGATGGGATAGTTTGTGCAGAATGTGAAAATGTCAGTTGAGTGACTGCTTGTAACACGAAACAATTGACTAATAGTAGTGATTTGCGCTATTGTTAAATAAATCAAACAACCGTATCTTTAACGTGTAGTGAATATTATATCGAATAAAACACGCGTGAGTAAAGTTTCATCTCATAGCCGTTCATTTTGGATGAGCAAAATGCAAGTGACAGAAGGTAAAAGTGAGAGCACGCAACAGTAATATACTTACTTGTACGTATATAACTTCATTTGTCATATTTTAACAAGCACTGATTATAAAGAGACATTTACAGAACCGAAAAATGACAAGACAAAAACAAAATACTGTAAGCGGAGCAAGCAAATGAAAAAAAAACAAAGAAGCAAAAAAAAGGACTTTTTTTTAAAATTGAAATTGAAATTGAAATATATTATTTTCCATGTATTCTATGATATCTACGTCTAGTTGTACGTACCGGACTCCATTTGCCTGCATACCAGTGATAGTATTCGTTTGTCACTGATGTTGCTTGACATTCTACCTCATTACACTGCCGAATACTGGTTGGCCTTTCAGGAAGTAAGCATTCCGTATCTTGTATCCTTTCACGTGTTTTCTCATCTTCACACCAAACTGTACGTTTCTGTACACCACCACCACATGTCACTGAACACTGAAATTTATTTATTTTACAGCATTATTATTTAAAATGATTTTTGTCTTCGTATAATATGGGATATTCACATATTTTTGTTGATAGTTTTTCTAAATCATTGCTGTCTTTACTCCTTTTCTAGAGAAATAATTTTTTAAAAATTTGCAATTACAATTATTAAATATTTCACTTTAAATTAAAAGTTACATACATGAGACCAAGGTGACATTTGCCAGACGTTAGAAACTCTTACACACTTTTGCTGATTACAACGCTCAAACTGATTCGGTTTTTCTTCTTCGTTACAAAATCTGGTACTACATGTAATTAGACGTCTGCGCCAACCACCTCCACATGAGACTGAACACTAAAAATTCTAGCTGTAATTAATAAACAATATATAATCATCACAAATTATTGATAATTGACAAATTTCAATGGAAGGTTAATAAGAAAGGAATTGACAAGGATTCAATGTAATGAACTGTTTAATATGTCTAAACAATACGACCTTTTCCCATTCTTTGGTAATCCAGGATCCAAGAGGTGGTTCTCCCAGTGGACATGGATTCAAATTACACGGTTTGATTGATTGCGGACGAATCGTTAGATCACAATCTGTTTCGCGCACTTGTTCATCACCTTCTATCGATTCACAGCTTACACGACGATCTGTTGTTGCATGTACACCACAAGTAACTGAGCACTAAATTTGAATTTTTTATTCGAAAGATTCATTTTGTACTTTTCAGAAAAAAGATCACTTGCATCATTCATCATCGTGAATACTTCACAAAAGATTTTTTGGAATATTTCGTAGTATAATGCAAAAAAATGAAGATTACCATATTTCTAAGCTTTCCATTAAACCACTAAAAGTTGGTATTTATTAACGGAATTCATCCGTTTTTTGCACTCAATAGAAACCATAAGTTGTATCGATAAGTGTTTGATGATAAATAATATGGAATGATATGATATGCTCAGTTTCATCTACCATTTCCAAATATCGTAGGATAATTACTATAATTGTTACAGCATCCCCCAGGGTAATCATAATTGAAAAAAGAAAGTTGCAATCCTACACGAATCGATTTACTTGAAATATTTTCTTACTACAAGAAAAGAATTGTAAAAAAAAAGAATAAATAAGAATATACTGATTTCCATGGTCCAACAGTCCATTGTGCACATGGCTTAATCTGGCAATATCGATAGGTTTCAATGGGTTCCAGATGCTGACAGTATGCCTCTGTAAGATCACGAATATGATCGCGACACACTACAAGACGGCGCTGTGTTCCATTTCCGCATGTTCTCGAGCAATCGGACCATGGCCCAATAGCCCAACGAATTTTTGGCTGATCACTTACTGTACTATCGATTACATTTTGTGTAAATGTTTCGCAATTATCACGTTCACAGATCTTTTCCGTTTTTGGACGTATTGCCTGTAATTAACTTCTTTGACTAATTATAGAACTAATCCTCTTTTTGTATTCTCGAAATCATCGCTAACACAACTAAGATGAATGGAATAGATTTTATAATTGACATTGTAAGTCTATTTCCATTACATCGGAAGAGGAACAGAGGGGTGAAGGATTTCGAAAATATGATTGCATTGATACGGAAATGAAATTACATAAAACAATCTCGAAAATACATAAGCCTGGTCCTTTTATCAGAATCTTTGCTACTTCACTTACTCTATCGCATTCACTTTCGTGAACGATAGATTTTTCTCGTAAACATTGTACTGTGCGAATTTGTTGGCCGCTACCACAGGTTACGGAACAGTGTGACCATGGAAGCACTTTCCATCTGGCGCATGGTAATAAACTATAACATAAGAACTTCTGAATGCAATAATTCAGTGAAACATTTAAGAATTTTTTTCAGACAACGGTGAAGCATGAAGAAATAATTCAACTACTTACCTACACTGCTCAACTTTTGCCACATTAGTGTCACTACACAATGAACCGTCAACAACTTGATCTCGATATATACATTCAACATTTCTTGCCCTTATACCGATACCACATGATACAGAACACTGGAAAGAGGTTATACATTTATTTTTAGTTAACTTATAAGATGAAGAAGATTTAGATTAATGAAATCAAAAGAAAAAGTTAATAAAATAACTATGGCCCATTTTTTTGATAATAAGAATTAAGAAATCGTACAGACTAAATAATAACCAATAAGTAAGCTTGCTTGCTATACCCAGCGTAAACAAGAAAAATAACAAAAAAGAA